AAATGAGCTTGTTTTTCTTTTCCCCCTCCTCTCCTTTTTTGCCACGCACCCCACACACATCTTATAGGAATTGGACGCCTCGTGGGGGGTTTTGGGGGAGCGATCTTAATAATACCAGATTCCAATGGACAAGGGGGTTCAAAACACCCACTTTTTTCAAAGCAGGATTGAGACTCTGAAACTGCCATCCTAACAACACGGGGGGCACCAGGCACACAAAAATATCCCTCCAGGCACTTTGGCATCTCCCCCCCCCCATTTCCTATTCAACCCCCCCCCCCTTTCCCAGTGGATAATGGGCCTTCCGCTCTTGTTAATATTCGGTTTTCTCGGGATAGTGAATGTCCAGATGTTTGAAATGAGTACACCATTTCCTTAGTCCCCCCCCCATTCCATTTCCTCCCCTCCAAAACAATCGCACAGGTGTTTGAGGGATTGGAATAAGACACTGTTTCAATATCGTGTGTGTGTGTGTGTGTTTGTGGTTTTTAATGAGAGGAGGGTTTTTGTTTAACGTGTGACAAGAGAACTGCAGTCCCGATGTTGAGAAGTGACAACAACTAACACCAGGTTACTCCCCCCGAACGAGATGATAACCACTGGAGGAGGGAACTGTCCCTATCTATCCCTCTTTCCATGAATTCCTCTCCCAAACATAGGAAGGTCCTGGGGTGGGGGTGTTGCATTGCTTGTTAAACCAAAACACAAGAGTCTGGGGTTTGGCTTTGTTCGTTTTCCGGACTACTTTCCACCCCACCAGCCACGATTTGGTTGTATTGATCAAATTTTGTATTTGTGCTCTTTAATTTTGTATTTATTTTGTATTTAATCTTGTATTTATGCTATTAAACCAGTTGTGGGCCAACTTGGGCCCTCCCTCCAGGTCTTTTGGACTCCAACTCCCACCATTCCTAACAACTTCATGCCCTTCCTTTTCCTTCTCAGCCTCTTAAGCTGTGTAGTCAAGGCATGAGCCAACTTGGGTCCTCCCTCCAGGTGTTTGGACTCCAAATCCCACCATTCCTCACAGCCTTAGCTCCCATCCTTTCCCCCCTCAAACTTCATAGCTTCTGAATCTACAGTGTAGATGAGGCATGAGCAAACTTGGGCTCTCCAGGTCTTTTGGACTCCAACTCCCACCATTCCTAACAGCCTCAGCCCCCTTCCTTTTCCCCCACAGCCTCTTAAGCTGTGTAGACCATGCATGGGCTAACTTGGGCCCTCCCTCCAGGTGTTTTGGATTCCAACTCCCACCATTTCTTACAGCCTCAGCCTCCTTCCTTTCCCCCTCAAACTTCATAGCTTCTGAATCTACAGTATAGATGAGGCATGGGCAAACTTGGGCTCTCCAGGTCTTTTGGACTCCAACTCCCACC